CGCTGGCATCTTCACCCAGCTCAAGGATAGCGGCAACATTGCCGCAGCGGTAGCAGTAGTTTGGAGCAGACCAAACAGTGACGATACCGCCATCAAACATCTCTTTGTATCCCTCCATAACAAGCTGGTGGGCACGCGCGACAAGAGACAAGCCGTTGAGATGGTTGAACTGTTTGACGATATCGCCGCCGAAAAGGAACCCAGCCCCACGAGGACTCAACCCCCAGCCTTCGATCTCATCCGGATCTGACCAGAGCAGATCGCACATGGCACCTTCGTGTGGCACCTCTTGCTTGCGGTCAATCAGTCGAATTTTATCGACAGAGTCAATGAGCGGTGACAATCCACCGTGTACACAGAGCACCGCACCAGTCCGGCTAGTCACGGCGCTACCGTTTCCATCGCCGCTTGCACCTGTCCCCGGGGCCCCCGATCGTGAGGGCGCGGCAGTCTGGCCTGGGGCGGCGGAGATGTCTCGTGGTGGGGATATATTTCTAGAATCTGTGGATGCATCGGAAGACGCACGCTGTCGCGCGCGGTACGTACTCATCGTGACCTCGCCTCTGGAATTCAGGACTTCTGTTTCCAGCTCGCTGTCATCGATCGGCATGCTTGGTAGTGCTGTATTGGAGGTGGGTTCTAGCTCTGAGCTCGCGCCGAGCACGATCGCGCCCAGGGCCAGGTAGTCGAATACCTCGCAGCAGTATCGCCATACGTTCGCGCTGCCGTATTTGCGAATGCACTCGTCGTAAAATCCATATACTGTTGTGATTTGGCGTGATTCGTGATTGCCGCGGATCAGGGTGATGCGGTCGGGGTATCGGACTTTCAAACAAAGGAGGAGAAGGAAGGATTCAAGAGAGTAGAAGCCACGGTCGACAAAATCGCCCATGAAAAGGTAGTTGGTATCGGGGACATCGCCGCCGACGCGGAATAGTTCCATCAAATCGTGGAATTGGCCGTGGATATCGCCGCAGATGGTTACGGGAGCGTCGACGGACACAACATTGCCTTCTTCGATCAGGAGTTCACGCGCCTTGTAGCACAGTTCGCGGACTTGGCTTTCGGGGATCAGGCGGCAGGCCCGCAGCTGCTCGATCGCCCTGTTAGACATAAAACATTAGTTTGACGGTGAACGATGGGCGTCTAGAAAGTTGAGGGGTTAGTGCCATACCGGTCTAGGTCACTCATTTTGTCAAAAGAGGGAGGGGGAAGGAAAGGAGGACTGTATTGAAGTCTAGAAACCCCAAAAGAGATATCAGATGGCTCAGTTTCCCCTTGAAAAATACAGTCTCATCTTCGCGAAGCTATGATGCGCGACGCAGAGACTTGAGAGAAGCGGAACATCCAATCACGCGGGAGCCAGATAAGATTAGATGCACCCAGAGCCCTTCGCTGCCGTCCACGGCTATTCTCTCCGCTCTCCTTTGAATATCCCTTCATATTTGCCGTCGGGGGTCTAGAAGCTTGTCAATTTGGATAATTCCCACTGAACATTCAATTGACCTCCTTGCCTGCTATTTCTTCCCGACTACGCCAGCCAGCCCAGTCCGAGCCCTCCGATGGCCTGAAAAATTACAGAAACAGTCGGCCACGCCTACCACGTCTCAATTGAACATCAATATTCGTTCTCTCTCATTACATACACAATGCCACCACACCTACACCCTCGGTCGCGGTCGACCACCGGCCTATTCGCCGGAACCCTCCTCGCATCTCTCCTAGTCGTCGGCATGCCGCACGTCTTCCCTTGCCCGGCCCCACGACGCACCTTTGCCGATTCGGAGATGACCATGACAGCTGATGGACAACAACTGCCACGCATCAGACGTAGACGACGGAAGGATCTCGAAGCAAGCCCAGAAGGCACTCAGGCGGGTCAGCCCACACCAGTTGTTGTGGATGAGGAGGTCTCAACATTCCTTCAGATGGAGGAGGAAGCAGAGAAACTCTCACACATCAATCGAGAATGCCCCGTCCCCAAACCTAAGGGTGTTATAGGGGAATTGCTGGGCTTCCGAGCGAATGCCCAGCATCAGCCCACCACCCTGTCTGACGGAGACCGATAATGCGTGCACATCGACACGAGACTCTCCTTCGATTTTCTTGCATTTTGTTTTCTCGGCTTGTTTAATGATACCATGGATTTTGACAATAAGGGTTGGGTGGACTGGTGGATGTTTAGAAGGCCATGCTCAAGGTCCCAGAGCGAGCTAGACCTACAACATATGTATTCCCCATGTACAGTGAGATGTATAAAAACAAATACAAATTATATTAAGATTAGAAAGAATCAGAAGTTATATACTTACCTCAACTAAAATGTGTTACCTCCAACTTAAACGCAATTGTAGACACTATCTAGGCGGAGCCAGCTCTGGCCACCTTGAATATTCCCCCCGTCAACCATCGAGCATACCTCGCCATGGCATTGACAGCCAAGACCTTCGCCTACGATGTGCTCACCAATCAGCAACATACAAAATGGATTGGACCTCTACTCATTCTAGGCGACGCGCTACTCTGCGCCCTCGTCATATGGAAGATCGCCTGTAAGACCGCGTCTAGGTGTCGCGTAATGAAACAGACCCAGCTAACCAAGCAACAACCACAGACACTGAGATTGACTGGTCCACATACATGCAACAAGTCTCTCTATATATCTCCGGCGAACGCGACTACCTCCTGATCAAAGGCTCAACCGGTCCCCTCGTCTACCCCGCCGCCCACGTATACATCTACACCCTCCTCTACCACCTCACCGATGAAGGCCGTGATATTCTCCTTGGGCAAGCGCTCTTCGCCGTGCTATACCTAGCTACACTAGCCGTGGTAGTTGCCTGCTACAGACAGACGGGGGCACCTCCCTATCTTTTCCCGCTCCTTGCTCTGTCCAAACGCCTGCATAGTATATTCGTCTTGCGCATGTTCAATGACGGCGTCGCGACTTTCGCTATGTGGCTTGCTATCTATCTGTGTCTGAGACGCAGTTGGACGGCGGGAATCGCAGTGTGGTCTCTTGGTGTTGCGATTAAAATGACACTTGTGCTGCTTGTGCCTGCTATTGCGGTCATCACTCTTCTCAATTTGGGGTTAGCGCGGAGTATTTCGCTTGGTGCTATGGCTGTTCTTATCCAGGTGGGTTCTTATGAAGTCAATTGAGTTCTGGGAGTCGGCTAACGCGAGAAACTACAGGTCCTACTTGCGATTCCCTTTCTCCAGACTAATAGTACAGGCTACCTCTCTCGGGCATTTGAGCTATCCCGCCAATTCTTGTTCAAATGGACAGTGAACTGGCGGTTTGTAGGGGAAGAAACATTTCTCTCAAAGGAGTTCTCTGTGGGGCTGCTAGTGCTGCATATATCCTTGTTGGCTATCTTCTTCAGAAACTGGGTAAAACCTTCAGGGTCGAACATGGTTCGCTTCCTCCAGGATACTCTCCAGGGACGCCAAAAGACAGTTCCACTCTCAAGGCCCTTCACTATGACCGTGATGCTGAGCTCACTCGCCATCGGCTTGTTATGCGCTAGGTCCTTGCATTACCAGTTTTTCGCGTATCTCGCGTGGGCTACCCCATTTCTTCTCTGGCGCGCAGGTATCCACCCAGTTCTTATATACGCCGTATGGGCGCTGCAAGAGTGGGCTTGGAACGTTTTCCCCAGCACAAACACAAGCTCGGCGGTTGTGGTGTTGTCGCTCGCGGTCCAGGTCTTTGGCGTGTTGTTCAATGGCTTGAGTGAGGTAGATAAGAAAAGTGACAAGTAGAGCAGTCGCGACAAGGCGATTGTCTAAAAATGAGAGATACCCCGGCCCCAATTGTGAGGCGTGCATATTTCGAGAATCATCATAGCCCAAAATCCCTGTGTACCGTAGCAGCTGCCATTGAACAAACGCTTGGTGCCTTTGAAAGGCGATCATTCAGTCTGACTCGTCCGAAGAAGGCATTTGGCCCACACGAGACTCTTCCTCGTCGTCGGAGTCGGACGCCATTACAACCTCATGCTTGACGAATTCCTTAGGCCTGTGTGAAAGCAATGCCAATTAGCAAACAAGTTTGTGGATAGTCTTAATCAAGAGGACATACCAAAAGGGAGCCTTTCTCCACGCCTTCTCGTCCCTGACAATATTGACAATTTCCCCTCCAATTTTATTGTCCCGCTCCTCCTGGCCCTTAGTGTCGACCACGACGTACGAGCTGCGCTTGATCCAGATGGCCGAGCGGAATCGTGCGGGCAATTCGACCAGCATCTGCTTCTTGTCTGCTTGTTCGATCAAGTAAATGTTGTTTCCAGTGGCTTTGATTGCTTTCACGATCTGCTGGGTATCGGATAGCTCGTTTGGAGGGGTCAAGGTTCCCTCCGCTGTAGCCAGCATCTTTCGGCGAGGAGGTCCCATTGTTGAAGACGCGCGGTATTTAAAATGATGGGTATTATAAATCGCAGGGACAGATCAAGTGCAAGAGAATGTTGAAGGGAAGGATTCTCCGGAAAATAATTTGATCTTATCGGAGCGGGTTTCCAAGGTTCCCCTGCCCGCATTTACTCCAGTCCCTTGTACGGGATCGACTTAACATTTTGAGAGGCTTACTTATCCAATATTCCTCAAGTCTACGGTCATATCTGATCAGATACTTACTAAGTACAGCAATAATCTTTACGAGGCTCACTTGGTCTGCAACCTTCTCTCTTCAGCCTACCAAGTCATGGGTCCTGCAAAATGAACCAAAGGCCAAGCGCCCTCAGACTATGAACTGAACGACTCTGGACTGGCGAAGAACTCAATTCAAGTCTATATATCTCGTGAACTTCGGTGTCGTGAATGACAGCGCTCACCCACGGATCCTATCAAACAGCACTAATAAGACACCGCCCTTCGGAGATCGCGTGGTTGTTTATCATTTTAACGATCTGCGTCATTGAATCGTACAACAATGACCATGCCTAGGGCTCCCAATTCAAATGGACGCGTCTCCAAGACCACTGCCCCTACCCGGTCATTGAATGAGCCAAATATCGCAGCTCATCACGACAAGTGTGACCCAAATTCTTAACCGCGACGGGAACGACGCGACTATCAGCAAGGCATGGGTTGACCGTTTCATCAAACGCCTACCAGATGACCTAAAGCCACCCAAAACACGATCAACCAAGAAAAAAACGTCTCGATGCATCAGATCAAGAGATTTTGGAGCTTTGGTATGAACGGCTGGGGGCTGTGATTGCCAGCGTTTCCACAGAAAATATCTACAACTTCGACGATACTATCTTCCAAATCGGCCAGGGAAAGAAACCTCGAATGGTCGTTACCCGGGGGGGTTCGTCCCTATTCAAACTAGAACCTACTGTGAATGGATAACCACGATTGAATGTATTGCCGCCGATGGGTGGGCAGCTGATCCATTTGTTGTTATACAAGGCGACCACTATTTCGATGAGTGGCTAACCTACGAAGGAACTCCTGATGAAGCTGTGTTCATGATGAATTCAAGCGGTCAGGTTGATGAGTTGGCTGCATGCGAGTGGCTCGAGTCTTTCCATCGCCAGACTGAAGACCGTGCTGCAGATGGTCAGCCTAAGCTCGTACTCTTCAGGAGCCAGCCTCAATATTTGAGTTTCAAGTTCCTCAACTTTTGCGAGCAACACAAGATTCTTCCATTCAGCTTTCCACCCAATATAGGACATCTCATTCAGCCTTTTGATGGCAAACCCTTTCAATGTTACAAGCAGTATTGGAGATCTCAAGGCATCCTATTCTGCATGATTGATGATCCCGATGACGAGAAAACAGTCTTCCTCATGGACTTCCCTTCCATCCGTGAGACATCATTCAAGCCCGAGGTTATCACGAAGGCATTTGCCGACAGAGGCATTGTGCCATTTGATCCATACAAGGTGAAACAACCGCTTTGAGAGCACACGCTTCCGTGGCGGCAGGTGCACAATATGATTGATGGGTGGCTAGATTTCAACCCCAAGGAGAACTCAATGTATTCGCACTAGGCACTGTGATTATTAGATCGGGAGGAGCTAAAGGCATAACCCCGCTGAAGATGTATAGCTAGCGTTAATTGATTAGCCTGAGCAGTCAATACTCACCAACATCCAACCGGCTATCTAGCCCCACCTGCAAACCTAGGTATATAGCTTGGTGACACGCTAACACCAAAGGCGGTTCTTATAGAACACGTCCCGAACATACAGCCAATAGATCTTTCCAACTTCTTGCAGCATCTGCGTGAATTCAAATATACACTTGAGGACATTCATCTTGTGAAGTCTTCCAAATACTGCGCAACATTGATTAAAAGTGACACAATCCCAATGTTACAAAAGTGCAAAACGCCATGCATGCTCTTATTACTGCCATTGGTTGAGATAGCATCCATAGATGCTCATATGCAGGTGCTATCAGCGAAGGATAAGACATATGATCTATGTGTTTCATTGCATGGGAATTCGCTTTGGGGTCCGGCTCTCGACACCCAGTCCAGCGTACCCTGTATGACCCCTTGCACTTAGAGGAAGGTAGTATATATATGTATGCCTGGTCTGGTACCTTCAATTTTGACAAATGTCACTAAAATGAGATTCTAACATGGCGGTTAGGGCGCAAAATGGACAATCTCACTCCTGCTACATATTTCATATGAATCATATTCCAGGCTATACATAGAAGTCTCTCGCACAAAGTATACCTTTGTTCCCTTTTTTGCCCTCTAACTACTCATAGAACTGATTATAGGGACAATATATAAATATATATATCTATATATTAGAAAAAAAGACATCTAAAAAGAACATCTGACACCACTAAAAAGACCACTAGAAAGACATCACAAGGCCGCATAAACGGCCGTCTACTCCTGTACTCTTAACCGGATATATCAAGCGAGGTAGTTGCATAGTACTTGGTCTCGTCGGGCTGACAAATATACGATTTAGTGCTCTATAAATCGGGTTCTGCATGATGATAGTAAATGTAGGACTAATGCTCTTTGTATTCCATCGCTTAGAGCCTTAGCCTTATAGTGCATTTGCTACGTCTTCATCTATTGGTCCTGAAACTAGTGACATCACCGGTTTTAGGCGACAAGATAGAGAGATGACCAAGTCATCAGATACGAAGACCTTCGGGATGTATCGAACGCGATTGGGGTCCCTGTTATCCCTCAAGGTATGCAGTAAGATGTGCCTGATGGGAAAGCCTGGACAAAGTGGTGATAATTTCCGATTCGCAATAATAGTGTGTTGTGACCATTCCGGTTATTGTCGTTCCAAAGGGGTCGGAAGTACGAGGCGTGTCTATAGGTGTATGAGTTTTCTAATAGATATATAAGTGTTAGATACAGATATATCGAAGAATATAGATACAACATTTGTATATATCTAAAAATATTCACATGTTACCGTTTAACTGTTAAACGGTCGCCACTTCCTTATCGGTGCGTGGTACTACGGACCTCTCTGTAACCACCTGCCTGGACTTCTTCCCGGGATCTAATCCATCTGGTAAAATTCGAGGATTTTCTTCGTTTTTACCTCTCCCAATTTGATACCCTGTTCTTTTTTTCTAGGTTTTTATCAATTCAATTTCGGCTGTAAATCGACTGGGCGATCATCGCGGGCAGTCTGTCTCACATTTTCCGAAGTGGCATTACCCGCGCCCGTTGCGCCCCTTGTCAACAACAGCCCCGCGAATCCTCTCCCACCAACAACCCACCTTGACCTGGCGCAAGCGCACCCTTGAATTTTGAGCCAGCCTTGCTCTTTGCTCTCGTCAGACCTGCCATCATGGATGGGGACGAGTTGATCGCCTCGGTCTTCCGCAAGATCGAGCGGGAGAAGGCCCTCATCACCGCTGCCAGTAACATGCGGCAGTCGACCGACAATCCCCTCGTGCAACAGAGAGTCGACGCCAACATTCGCGATGGCCGCAAGAATATCGCTTACCTGGAGGAGAAAATGAGAGAATTGCAGATCCGTCAGATGAACCAGGAAGGCGGCTCACCTGGTCAGCGTGGAGGGCCGGCTCCCCCGCCCAAAGACTCCGGATACCCTGGCGAGCACGGTGATGCTCACTACCCCCAGGGTGGCTCTGGCTCGATGCCTTCCGGCGCCCCATACTCCGATCCCCGACCTTATGCTCCGATCCCGAAGGCGAGGCCCAACTACACAAAGCTAGGTACGTTCTTGTATACTGCTCCTGCCAAATCCCCCGAAAAATGCTGCGCTGAACTTAAATCGCTTGGAATGCTAATATGAATGGCCATGTCTCAGATCTGATCAAGTATGACACTCCGTACCTCGGCCCGAAGATTCAACTCATGCTGTCTCAGTTGGAGTTCAAGCTGAGTGTGGAGATGCAATATAAAGCTGGCATCGAAAAGATGGTCCGCTTGTACCAGGACGAGGGCGACCGGAAGAGTCGAGCTGATGCCGAGGGCCGTCGCATTGAGAGTAACCAAAAGATTCAGCTTCTAAAGCAGGCTCTGAAGCGATATGAGGATCTTCATGTTGATATTGAATCCGCCGATGCGCCAGACGGTATGAAAAAACATAGCAATATTGCTGCGACCATCATGTTACATGGTTACTAACTGGTGTTCAGATGAGAGTCTTAGTAGCCCGAATATGCGCAAGCCGCTGACGGGTCTGCTGACAATGCGCATCCATGCGGTCAAGGACGTGGACCATGCGGCTGGCTCGCGATTTTCGCGAGGACCAGAGACATACATTGTCGTCAAGGTTGAAGACACGATCAAAGCGAGAACCAAGGCCACCCGAAACGATAAATGGCTGGACGAAGGCTTTTCCATGGATATCGATAAGGCAAACGAGATCGAATTAACTGTTTATGACAAGTCGGGAGATCGCCCAGTCCCGATCGGTATGCTGTGGGTGCGCATCTCTGACATCGCCGAGGAGATGCGTCGCAAAAAAATTGAGACGGAGCTCAACGCATCTGGCTGGGTATCCGCAGACAAGATGGGCGATAGCGGATCCCCTCGGCATGACCAAGCTGGTTCTCCTATGGGTTCTTCGCATGGCCCTAGCTCCGGAGCACGCCCGGGCACCTCAGGGCATGGTGGACATGGACATCACGGTGGAGAGAACTCAAATGCTCCACCGACTGTGATGATCGATTCATGGTTTGCCCTGGAACCAGTTGGCCGAGTTCAGCTTCAAATGAGCTTCGGTAAGTCTTGCATTAATCCCCAAAGAAGCAGCCTCATGTGCTAACTGAATATAGCCAAACAATTGAAGGACCGCCGTCCCTTTGACATTGGTCTTAACCGTCAAGGTGCCGTGCGCCAAAAGAAAGAGGAGGTTCACGAGAAGCAAGGCCACAAGTTCGTCACCCAACAGTTCTACAACATTATGCGCTGTGCACTGTGTGGAGAATTTCTCAAGTATGCTGCCGGCATGCAATGTGCGGATTGCAAGTACACCTGCCACCGCAAGTGTTACCCCAAGGTTGTCACCAAGTGTATCAGCAAAGCCAACTACGAGACCGATCCGGACGAGGAGAAAATCAACCACCGCATTCCTCACCGATTCGAAGGCTTTTCCAACATCTCTGCGAACTGGTGTTGCCACTGTGGCTACCTGCTCCCCTTTGGACGCAAAAATGCTAAGCGCTGCTCTGGTAGGCATATTACTGACATCCTAACTTCTTTTCTAGTCCATACTGACTTCCTTTATAGAATGTAGTCTTACATGCCACGCTCAATGCACTCACCTTGTGCCCGATTTCTGTGGAATGACGATGGAAGCCGCCAACCAAATTCTAGAGACATTGATTCGCACCAAGCATCACAACAAGTCTGCCTCTGTTAGTTCTGGCCTCAGCAACCGTACCCTTCGAGCAGGCGGTCCGCCCCAGCCCGCTCAAGACAACGCTGCCCTCTCCTACCCCCAGAAGCCGATGGAAGGACCCTACGGGTCTATTCCTAGACAACCCTCCGCAGAAGCGGTAAGCGCTGCCACTAACTCCTTCATGACTCCACAGTCACCAACAGCTGCTGCACAGGCCGCCCAGCGTCAACAGATGCCACCGAAATCGCCCACTGGACCTGCCGCCGCCGCTGCTGCCGCAGCTACCGGGCTACGTAGCCCCCAGCAAGCCCCAAGTATGCAACTTCCTATCATGCATCGAAGAGAGAATATTGGTACTAATCAAATCTTAGCCGAAATGGGCCGTCCTATGCCGCCACCCCAGGCACCTCCGCAGCCTCAACACGCCCATTATGACCCATCTGCTTATGCCAATTTCCCGCACCAGCCCCCACCCCAGGCTATGCAGAAGGCGCAGCCTGCGGCTTACCCAATGGCACCGCCTCCGCAGCCCATACAGCAACAGATGCCCCCGCAACAGCAAGTTGCACCCCCCGTCCCCAAGGACGACGCGAAGGCTCGTATTGGGTTGGATCACTTCAATTTCCTTGCTGTTCTCGGAAAAGGTAATTTCGGAAAGGTCATGTTGGCTGAAACAAAGAGCTCCCGAAAGTTATATGCCATCAAGGTGTTGAAGAAGGAATTCATTATTGAGAACGATGAAGTGGAGAGCACCAAGTCCGAAAAGCGTGTTTTCCTGATTGCAAACAAGGAGCGTCACCCATTCCTTCTCAACTTGCACGCTTGTTTCCAAACCGAAACCCGTGTCTATTTCGTCATGGAGTATATCAGTGGTGGTGATCTCATGCTGCACATTCAGCGTGGCCAATTCGGCCTCAAGAGGGCACAGTAAGTCCTACTCTTAGTCCTTGCTCTGTTTTGGGGGGTTTGAAATGCTCACATGTTCTAGATTCTATGCCGCCGAGGTCTGCTTGGCACTCAAGTACTTCCACGAGAACGGTGTCATCTACCGTGACTTGAAGCTCGATAACATTTTGCTGACCCTGGATGGTCACATCAAAATTGCTGATTATGGTCTTTGCAAGGAAAACATGTGGTATGGTGGTACAACTAGCACGTTCTGCGGTACTCCTGAATTCATGGGCCCAGAAGTAAGTGGGATCAAGTTTGATTGTGTCTTTTTGAAGTACCGATGGGCTGACTTTTGTAATAGATTCTGCTGGACAAGAAGTATGGACGGGCTGTGGATTGGTGGGCGTTCGGTGTTCTCATCTACCAGATGCTTTTGCAACAGTCTCCATTCCGTGGTGAAGACGAGGATGAAATCTACGATGCCATTCTTGCCGATGAGCCTCTCTACCCTATCCACATGCCTCGCGACTCCGTGTCGATTCTCCAGAAGCTGTTGACTCGTGAGCCCGAGTTGCGTCTGGGCTCCGGTCCCACCGATGCCCAAGAAGTTATGTCTCATGCCTTCTTCCGCAACATCAACTGGGATGACATCTACCACAAGCGGGTCCCCCCGCCATTCATCCCCACAATCAGCAGTCCTACCGATACAAGCAACTTCGACCAGGAGTTCACCAGTGTGACTCCAGTCCTGACGCCTGTACAATCTGGTAAGATCCCTTTGGCTTTGTGTGCTTGCTGGAAGACGAACTGTAACTAACCGACCCTTTTTAGTGCTTTCGCAAGCCATGCAGGAAGAATTCCGTGGATTCTCCTATACTGCTGACTTTGCTTGATCCTACCGATGTGTGATCGGGATAATTATTGCTTGCTTGGACACCTGTCACGAGTTGTTGACGATGGTGTCAATTCGGTTCACAGGGGTTTTAATGCCGACACGTCCGGTTTCTTCAGCGCGCCGCGGGTCTCCCGCCCCAGCACCTCATGCTCTTCAAATTGCTTCAACATACCCAATCGCAGTTTCGTTTTAAGTGTCGGTGTGGACCGGACCTCACTGACATGCTTCGACCGCCGGATACCATGGTCAATGAAACCTCCAGTTTGCTTTTGCTCGATTTCTTTGTGTGCTTATCTAAATTGCTTGCTCTATTTTTTCCCCGAGTTCTTTTTCTAAGTTTTCCTTCCGACGGGTCGGGTTTATGACTCTATTCTATGCCGGGCATTTGATGTCCAAAAAATGAGAGGGGACGGGTTCCCAAATGGGAACTGCGTGTGGTTTTCAAGAGAGTTGATGAGAAATGACGAAGTTTGAAGATCTATGAAGATACCGTAGATCCCTCCAGGGATTCCTGCGCGTTATGTCCGGTATTATGTTCTAGCGGTTCGTGGTAGAGAGAGAAGGAGATACAAATACGAACTAATATATCCCACCTATCCATTTTGTAGGTCTTAAAGTCCTTTGGGCACAGCATATATAGACGTGATGTCAGATTCCTTGATGCGGCTGCTCTCCCTTCCAAGTTGAGCTGCCCTCTTTACTTCCCAAATAGGAAGCCGGAAATCGTGTGCCTCTCTTGCTAAAGCACAGGTTTCTTTTGTTTACCTTTGTCCTCTCTTCCAGTTGTGTTTTTCCAGTTTACATCTTTTTGACTCCAGCCTTTTTTCTTTGTTCCAGAAATAGATCAAGCTACCGAGGTCTATTTCAAAGATGCTGCCAAAGATTGAACGCCTATTTCGTCGAGGCTTTCGAGCCTTAAGTAAACACGCCGAGACCGTGCCTTTGAGCAACAAAGAGAGCCTGCCCTCGGAAAACAAAGAAACCTCGCCCCCAGCCAACAAAGAACACACCCCTCAGTCCACTCCAAAGGTGAGCCAACCGCCGTTGAGCTCCCATCCCATCAAGAGATGGCTCAAAAACGTGTATCACCCTGTTGATGGGTCTCAACAGGGTGAGACCAAAAGTCGATAATATTGAATATCACATCAACTTCTCAAGAAGTTCAGAATCGGGATCACCTCCGGCTTGGTTTAACGAGACTTGGGACAACGATCCCGAGATTCGACGCTTCCTGTTTGAGAACGAGGTTTCTCGCGACCAGGTGAGCTGGCGATTTTGCGCAATCTACCACATCCCTCGCTACGAACCAAACATTATCATCGATACGTGCCCTTCTCCCTCTCCTGCTCCCCCGGTCCTGTCACAACCGGCGGTTGTAACTTCAAAGCTCGACCACACCAAGGAGCTAGCAAGCTCCTCAGAGCTGTACTGTGCCTGACATGATTGCTCAGTTCACCGAACAGGGTCAGATGGTAAGTTTTATCTTTGTCATAGCTTATTATATCACTTTGACCTTAGTTGACTCTCTCTCTCTCTCTCTCTCTCTCTCTCTCTCTCTCTCTCTCTCTCTCTCTCTCTCTACTTCCTACTCACTTGCAACTTACTGACTTCTATATCAGGCGACCTCAGCCCCAAAACGAGCCCTCCTTGCCGATGAAACAGAGCCTCATCACCTGGCTAAGCGAGTTAAATCTGAGCCAGAGGACTCTGCAACTTATAGCGAGCGGCCCGAGGACACCGTCAGTGAGGACGAATATTGGGACTCGGATCCACCCACCTCCCCTGGATACAAGATTTATAGTGCGAGCGAGGACAGCGACAACAGCGACTCTTCTTCCTCGGTATGCGTTCAGCGAGGGAAGAGGGGCCCCTTGGATCCTTCGGCCAAGAACGGCCGCCCGGTCAAACCCAAAGCCAAAAAGGCTAGGAAGAGGAGGGGATCTGATTCGGATAAGTCAATGTCTGAGCCAAGTGACCTCGACTACGAGAGCGAGGAAGAGTACTTTGTCCCGAGAGGAGAGCGTGAGGATATACTCAACAATAGATTGACCCGAGAAAGGGCAAAGCGCCTACTTGATGCCGTGGAACTCCCTCAAGGCCACGACCTATCACCAGACGAACAGCGGACTGCCCATCAACTTCTTACCCGTGGCTGTATGCCGACCATCCACAGACACTGGGAGAAAGATTTCTCCACTCTTCCAGAGTCGCTGTTCTTTTCTGGGGTAGATGACAAAACCAAACTTAACAAATTAAACTTCATCCTTGGAAACGATAAGTGTTCCGAATTCTACGCGATTCGTGCCTTTCAAGAGCTTTTGAAGATATGTGGCAATGTGAGGGACTACTGCAATATCCTTGATACCTGTCCTGAGATCTATATCAAGAAATCAATAGAAAAATACCTGCGCTGGGCATTGAGTGATGCTGGTGTCAGAGTCAAGCCGGACACCAGCGCAGTGCATGTCATATATTGCAAACGTGACGACGAAATGTCAAAAGAAGCCTTTGACAAAGTTGCCACAACATTACAGAAGCTATCCAATGCCTGGCAGAGTCAACTCGCTGCACCCCAAGATAGCAAAAAAGTCTGGCCGGCATTGATTGGGCTCGTCGTCTGTGGACCTGTTCTTTCTGCCATCTCTCTGGACACCAATCCGAATCCTCAAACCCTAACACATGGACTCAAGTTCCTTGGTCATTTCGATCTTGCAGATTTTGATAATGATGTTTGGAACACCCTAGCTGTCGCGATCCTCGTCATGCACATCAAAAGGACCGTGGCCAAACTCGCAAAGGCCTACGGTGACAAGTTTGTGACCTCGACCTTTGATGACCTTGCCATAGACTCCTTAGATCCTGATCGTTGATTTCTGTCACACGGTGTTACGAGATCTTCGATATTCTCTGCAACAACCTTTATACATGTCACACCAAGAGATCAAGGAATCTACGTATCAGACCAGGAAAAAGCAATATCCCTCAGCGGATGGCATTTCCCGAGCAATTTTTGAAACTTCATCTGGCAATTTAGCGTGTGAATTTTGAGCCATGTACAAATAGTTTACTGAATGATATGCTATAACATTTCCTGTACTTAACTTAGTCCAGTAATGTACAATGTAGATGATAGGTTCATGCCAGGTGCGAATGCTACTAGTGGAATTGTCGTGACCAATGCAAGGATTGATGTGCTTGTCGCATCTCCACTTGGGCTGAATGCTTGTTTTCCCCTGTTTTAAAATTGATCCTTGAACCATCTCTACTATATTTCGAACCCGATCTGAAGAACAATAGACTGTGTTGTTGGGAATCCGGAGAGCTCCCAACACCCTGAAAAAAATTCTTTCATGATGATCTCCGAAGACCATGGGATCACAGAATTCTCACCTTTGCTGCGCAACATCGACCCAGAAGCAGCAAACAGTTCCAAGAAGTCAGGATGGCGACAAGAATTAGCAATTATCTCGCGATACTCGGCCCCCCTAATGATATCGCTCCTACTTCAACATGCATTGACCGGTTCTAGCATTTTCATGGTGGGCCATCTGGGGAAACGAGAAATCGGCGCCGTGAGCTTGGCCAACATGACTGCCCAGATCACTGGATATTTTGTCTTCCAAGGACTAGCAACATGCTTGGATACTTTATGTCCTCAAGCATATGGCTCAGGGAACCTGACCATGGTCGGGCTTCACGTTCAACGACTGACGCTTTTCATGCTCGTCCTCACGATCCCAATTGGTGCGATATGGTGGAATGCGGATCGCATCTTTCTCCTAATTCTACCATCTGAATCCTACGAGACGGCTCTTCTCGCCGGATTGTACCTGAAAATTGCCATCGCCGGCGCTCCCGGTTATGCTTGTTTTGAGTCGGGAAAGCGATTTTTCCAGGCACAGGGATTGTTCAGTGCTAGTCTGGTGGTTCTGTTGATATGTTCTACATTGAATATTTTCATGGGATGGTTATTTGTTTGGGTATGTTATTTAACCGTAGAACTCCCCCGAGCTATTCGTTGATATACCTTCTTTTACAGAGACTGCAATGGGGCTTCATCGGTGCGCCTATTGCTGTTGCGATCGCGAATAGTCTTCTGCCCGTCTTTCTGGCACTCTACGTCATCTTCATCAAAGGCTCTGAATGCTGGCACCCCGTTTCTGTCGAGGTGTGGCGTAGCTGGGGTCCAATGTTGCAGCTTGCCATCCCGAGTTGGCTAATGATCGAAGCCGAGGTCCTCGCATGGGAAATCATGACACTCATTTCATCCCATCTAGGCGCGACTGAACTCGCTGCCCAAGCTGCTATATCGACACTTTCAGACTTTGCATTCCAAGTTTCGTTTTCCATCGCCGTTGCCGGTGGCACACACATTGCCTATCTGATCGGAGCAGGCTTCCTCCAGCGTGCCGCAACATCAGCCAAGGTTATGGTTCTTGCTTCCTTCGGTGCTGGTATCACAAATATGCTTGTGATTCTTGCGCTCCGGGGAGTCATCCCGGGCTTGTTTAGTGATATCGGCGAGGTCTGGCACTTGATCTTCTTCTTGCTTCCATTGGGCGCCGTCCTTCAAATTCCCGATGCTGTGGCCACTTCCCTAAATAGCTTGCTGCGGGCTGTGGGACGACCGGATCTGGGTAGCTATGTTCAGCTCTCGATCTACTACCTCGTGGGATTGCCCTTGGGCATTGCTTTCGCATTTGTCTTGGACTGGAGCATTTTCGGGTTATGGAGTGGAATTCTTATCGGCCAGTCGATCATTGTGTCGATCGAGGGCTTTTATTTCTGGAAAATGGTGGACTGGGCGAAGGCATCCCGAGAAGCGGTAGAGAGGATGTGATCGTGGAGAGAGCTTCTAAAAGTTGAGCCATCGACGGGCGGGATAGCTTCCAAGGCTATAAAATATATCATATCATACACGACGAATATAAAATACTTATTTCTTTCTTGTCTATTATTGTCTACTTGTACAACTACAGAAGCACTTGTACGGTGAGCGAAATAGTAAACTTTTCTTTTATATACTTAGGCGTCACATGACCGGTCCCGCTGTTGACGCTATTCCCAACACTGCAATCTTCAAGACGCACTGCATCACCCAGCATTCCACCATGGATGCCGCCGAGGATCGAGACGTGAAGCTTCAACGGGCCTCTGGAGATTTGGTGTCCGAGTTTTCGGCAAAGCTACCCTCGCTATTGTGGAGAGTCCAAACAGGCACTCCCATCCGCACCCCACGTAAATGGGCGCAGGTCACTAAAACAGAGAAGCTTGTCAGCCTTGTAAGACTGCACCGCATAGATTATTATGTTGCCATTTACTGATTATATACAGCTTGAACCCTTTCAAGAGTGGCCTCAACTCTTAGATCCACATTTACAGACGTTGCTGCCTCCATTAGTGGACGCTTTTCTAGCATATCTGATCAAGCACCGCACCCAGTATGGCTCTGTTTCGGCGAAGTCATCCCAGACAGGAAATCAGTATCCTCTGCCAAGGGCCATCTGCAGGTTACTTTACACTTTCTGCAAAGTCCGTGGTGTCAAAGTGATTAGCAGGTTCTTGAACAATGAGCCGAAATATCTTGATTCAATGATTCGGGCCTTCATCCAATGGGATGCAATCCGGCCAATCAATTCTGAAGAACCAGCCGCATCTGAACCTCAGCGATTCATCTGGGAAGAACGCTATGTGATGCTGGTCTGGCTTTCACATCTTCTGCTTGCTCCTTTTGACTTGTCTTCTTTATCTGATGATAACATTCCGGTGCCATACGACAATCTGCAACGGTTGACTTGGCTACCATCTGAGACTCCTATGGTTGCCAGGTCGGTTCTTTCCTTGTCGTTGCACTATATCGGTGCGTCTGGCAAAGAACGCGAGGCAGCGACAGCGCTTTTGGCACGATTGGCTTTGCGTGGAGACATGCAAGCTCTCGGTATGCTTACAGGTCTGACGAAGTGGGCATTTGCTATAATCCAGCCTACGGAGAACGTCGAATCACCCTCTGTCTATGTCTGTATTGGAGTTCTCACATTCATTGCTCGCTTGAGCGCATCGGGCCAGGTAGAGGACTTTGCTCCCTTGATCAATTATGTCTTCCAGCAGACTCTGAGTGTATTTCAAGGGAATTCTTCGGTATCTGCGACAATCCAGTCTTCGGCGTTGGCCAGAAAGATTGTTGTCAAGATCCTTCGCAATATCACAGGCATGGCCTTGTCTTTGAATGAGCGAGGCGACGGCCGCATCACGGATGATGAGTTGTCGACCATATTGGAAGAAGCAATTGATCATTTCTTGGTCTCCTTGGCCGACAAAGATACACCCGTGCGTTTTGCCGCGAGTAAAGCACTCAGCGTTATCACATTGAAACTAGACCCAGAAATGGCGACCGAAGTCATTGAAGCGGTCATTGACGCGCTGGGAGAGAATATTCTCTTTGAAAAAGACGATGGGTCCCTCATGACGACAGCAGAAGCGCGGAAGATTGGCACACACACCCTTAAACGTAATCTCAGTGCAGTCGACGCCCAGCGATGGCAAGGATTAATCCTGACACTGTCACATTTACTCTTCCGCCGCGCACCTCCTATTCACCAACTCCCTGAGATTCTTCAATCACTTGTGGCTGGTTTGGGCTTCGAGCAAAGGTCTTCTACTGGTAGCTCTGTGGGAACCGGTGTACGAGATGCAGCATGCTTCGGTATTTGGGCCATGTCTCGAAAATATACAACACGAGAACTCATGGCACTGCAACCCCAGGTAGTGGCATCGCAATCTGGCCAGAAAGAGGTCGATGTTCTGCAAAAGCTGGCTGTGGAACTCATTTGTGCTGCCTGTATCGATCCATCTGGGAACATCCGACGCGGGTCGTCTGCTGCACTACAAGAGTTGATTGGCCGTCACCCCAATACTATCGCGCAGGGTATCCCTCTTGTGCAGGTTGTGGATTATCATGCCGTTGCACGACGTTCTCGTGCACTAATTGATGTTGCCAAAGCAACAGCCTCTCTGGATCAAATTTACTGGAGTCCACTTCTGGACGCTTTGATTGGTTGGAGAGGTATTGGTTCTCCAGATGCCGAATCTAGAAGACATGCGGCTAAGTCTATCGGAACTTTGAGTACGCAGGAGCAATTTAAAACTATGAATCTGGTCCTGGATAAATTACTGCAAATGTTCTCCAGCATCTCTCGGAATGATGTGGAATCACGACATGGCTGTCTGTTGTCTATTGCTGCGACGGTCGATGCTTTTACTTCCGAATGGGAAGCATCGGCAGAGAACAGAGATACCCCGGAAGCCAGGGCTGTTTTCTCTCAAGTGGCCAATATCTGGGATATCTTTGGTTCTGCATCAAGCCCTACCGATGATGACTTGACCTTCCAGACTTCGCGCCCTGAGTTGACAGCAGAGGCATCATCTTGCTTGATTTCCTCGCTCTCTCGGTCTACTACCACGACAGGTCTGGCTCAGCCTTTAGAACCACTTCTGAATCGAGCACTCCAAATTCTCTCCCTCTGTGTTTCTCGAAGTGATGATATCTCGATCGAAACTTCCTCAACCGCCTTGGCGCAGATGTTCCCTCTCCTATCGCCGTCAAAACAGGAAGAAACTGTGCGTACTTGGTTCTCTCATCTCCGTGCTTCGTGGAGATTGCCCACAGGTCGTGGTCAAATTCTAGCACTTGGTACAGTGTTCAAGCAACTCGGAGCACAAAGTGATGTCCAAGAAGACATCGTCGCCGAGATTCTTCGTTACACCGGGAAGGAAGAGCTCATTGAGAAACGGGTTGCTGCGGTGAAGTGCTTGGCCACCAGTATCTTGCCATATATGGGTACGTAATATCTCATGTTTACTGGTTTCTCTTGTTTACTGGTTGGCACGAAAATTGGCTAACAAAATCCTAGCTTCCACCGATGCAATTGCTGGCAACTTCGTCGAGTTTTTGAACGATTATACCACTGACAGGCGAGGTGATGTTGGGTCTCTTATTCGAGTCGAGGCAATCCAAGCAGTCGACATCTTGCTTCAAAGACAATTGGACTCAACATCACGCTCACCACTTATTCAAAATTTGGTCGGGTGTCTTTGCCGCCTTGCATGTGAAAAGCTCGACAAAGTTAGACTACAAGCATGGCTTTCTCTACAGGGCTTCTGGGAATCAGCGGGAGATCTACCTCCACTTGAAAGGTATTTACCGACAAAGCAAACTGTTATAACGGAGGCTAACAGAAAACAGAAAATTCGAGCACTTCAGTCATGTTTCGTCACAAGAGTACTTCGCTCAGCTACTTACTCTGCAGAATATTGAGTGGCTTCGTCTTCCTTTGTTACAAGGCCTTGCTACCTCTGCTATCTCGGGAGCAGAAGGTCTTGTTCGAGCGTCTCGCTCAGCTCTGACTCAGTTCCTCAATTCCCAAGCCCAAGCCCGACGCCAGGAGATATTGATGGTCTTCTTGCAGGATCTTTCCACAATACTGGGTGATAATCTTCAAGATGACCGTTTTGCCATTCCTGCCGTCGAGTTTGTTGCATTTTTAATTGACAGTTACATTCCTGTTATACCCGAAGCCTCAGATCCAAGGTTTGTAAAATTGTCTTCTGTTACTTATATATCTACAATATCCACTGACATCTTTTTGGTAGTTTCCGAAAGCTGTTCACGCTAGTCCAGAAAGCACATTTCAGATCCGCAAATATAGCTCGATTGGAGGCTGCAGTCAAAGTCTACGCTGCTTTGACAAGGATTGACTCGTTACGAGATGGTGTCTTGAAGAAAATGACCGGACTGCTTTTGCATCCTTTCCCACGGGTACGTTACACCTCAGATCCATAGGTTTACGGTACTGACAAATCTTTTTCTAGGTCCGATCATGCGCGGCAGAATACCTCTTTGTTGTGACAGACTCTGAGATTGCCAAGTACGAAGACTGGTCTGCTCCGCCTAAACAGCTGAAGCCCCATGTGGATACTTTGAAGGTAACTTTTTCTTTAGAAGCCTAGATATCAGCTCCACAGATATGCCATAGAACTTAAATATCCATCGAGTTAATCACAACCGCTGAAGCCATAAGATACAAAGCGTGGATGGACATGGGGCGTAAAAGCTTTGAGCTTTGGTTCTCATCTTGAGTAACAAAGGTACCATTAGTACTTGGTTCGTCAGGTGTGTCAGACTTGTCCAAGTGATCATCCTTGAAGAAGTTGAATATGTATGCAGTCGCATTGAAAGCCGACTTACCCAACGGGCACTGTGCGGAATTTCGGACATAGTCATCATTGCCAACAGTACTTGGCCAGCAATGGCCATTTTCAGCCTCGCGATAATGCTGAACAATACCTTTCTTCCCTTTACAGTCCCAAGAAGCATGCTTCACAAGCGGATCTTCAAAGACAGTCTCATTCCTGCTCCACTTCGCATTGTCCCCACATCCATTTCGACCAGCCCAGCCCTCCAGGATATCAATGACAGGCAGCTTAGGAACACGAATATTCTTCGTGTCACCATCGATAGGCGCCGTCGTATCCATCGTACCATGAATCTCCAAGAAAGGATATCCCGCGTCCCGCTTTGCGGGGGCACACGGCCCCACTCCTTCTATATTGTCTGTATCATACCAGGCGCCACTGACAGCCGCAAACGCCGCAAACCGGCTTCCAACCGTGGCGTTGCAGGCAATGACTCCGGTGAAACCACCGCCATTCGACTTGCCCGCCGAGTATACTCTGCTTGTGTCGACGCAGAGGGCTTCTTCCACGTGCGTGAGCAGATCGTTGGTGAAGTCTAGATCATTGGGACGCGATGTGTCTGCAAAGGGGTTGGAGAGCCAGTACCCATTCTTGCTGTATGGATAGATGGCAATTCCGTCGGGGTTGAATTCTGGGTTTGAGAATTGGGATAGATTTTCTTCCTCTAGCATGTCGCGCGACGCCCCGTGGAAGGAGAAGTATACCGGTGTTGGCTTATTCTTGTCATAGTTGGCCGGGATGTATAGTCTGTATAGTCGGTTTGTGTCTGGGAGGGTGAGGTTCCGGCTTGATCCTGCTGTTGGGAATTTGGCAGGTATGTCTTTGCCGCAGCCTGGTGTTTTGGCTGTGCTGATGGTCGCGAGGGCTGCGAGGGATAGTAGTGTTGCGAAATGCATGTTTGGGGTGCCCAGACGGGCAGCTAACTTCTTGGGGAATACATAGTTATATTTAGGGGATTAGGAGGTACAAGACCTTGAACATAACATATCAAGGGGCGCCTAGGTCTCATGTAAGGTGTGGGTAAGGCATCCGCCAAGAGTTTCTTATCTTTCCCGTCGACCTTTCAAAACCTTACATCCTGCACATGTGCCACTTCATAAGGGTGATCTACGGACTCCGGTAATTTAAGGCATACATTTTTAATAATAAATTAGGGTTGGTAAGAGATACATAACTAGTACTAGCTATGCTTTAGGGCAACTTGGGTACATCAGCCAATGGTAAAAGAAATCAAGGAGCAAAAAAATAAAAAAAAGATGTGCATCATCCGTGAATCGAACACGGGCCTCGTCGATGGCAACGACGAATTCTACCACTAGACCAATGATGCTAGTTCATGTAAAGGAGCTCAATATTATGCAATATAGATCTATTCCATCTCCAATTTCATTTCTCCGCCTCAAGTCAACCAGAAGCTCGACCTCGCTGATTTCTAGAGCTCCAACAGTCGCAAACATGGCAGCCGTCTCTACAGCTGGCATTCCTCCAAATGCGACGTGAGTACTAACTATATCTGCATAATCGATCCCCATGCTAACAAGTCCTTACAGAGTATATGTGCGCCAGTCCCCCCCCTCTATCATATCACCACTCCGCTCCCGCATTACCATACTGACGGATTCCTTCGCACTGATTAGGTCAAGAATTTAGATGAGCGAATCAAGGTCGACCAGTTGAAGCATGCTCTGGAGGAGATTTTCTCCGAATATGGCACCATTCTAGAGGTCGTCGCAAAGACCAACCTCAAAGCTAAGGGCCAAGCCTTCATCGTCTTTGACAACGTCGATTCCGCTACCCGCGCTATTGAGGATATCAATGGCTTCGACCTCTTCGAGAAGCCTATGGTGCTGGATTACGCGAAGACACCCAGTGATGCCACAGTCCAGCGCGAAGGTGGCAGCGACGAGCTGGAGGCTCACAAGCGGAGACGCTTAGCTGAGAAAGGTACGTTGGACAGACACTGGCGCACTAGATGCAAAGACTCAATCCATGCTAACAATGGTTGTTATACAGAGCGCAAACAAGCCCATGAGGCCCTCGAAACACAGAAGAAACTCAAGCGTCCTGCTGCTGCCGTCGAGCCCGCACGCCCAGCCAAGACCACCAAAGGTGCCGGCCTCAAGCCCACCGCTGCTGCTACAACCGCTGTCGTTCCGGACGAGTACCTACCACCCAACAAGATTCTGTTCTTGCGGGATCTGCCAGACGATGCAAGCCAGGAAGGCCTGTCTGCTATCTTTGGCCGGTTCGAGGGATTCCAGGAAGTCAGATTGGTGCCCGGTCGCAAGGGAATTGCATTCGTCGAATACGAGGCCGAGGCTGGAGCAATCAGCGCGAAGGAAGCTACGTCTGGTATGCCCATGGGCGACCAGGGCAAGGCGATTCGCGTTACCTACCAGCGACAGTAGTCGTGGGTGGTTTGTTGCATCCTACAAAATATCCCGTTCTCGTTCTTTCTGGCGTTTTGGATGGTCTTGTCTCAAGTACATGTGTATTAGAAATACGGAGAGCTTTATCACTGTTCTATTGCTGTCGCAATGCGTCAAGATTGCGTATCACATAAAGTTCAATATTTCCTAAAGTAGATGAAACGAGCCACAGGGCTAAAACGAGTATGAGCATACAAAGTGGTACATGTCACGGTCAAAAAAGATGCTAGCAAGAAAAGAGTATCAATACGAAACAAAATAGCAGCCTAGAAAATGACATCGTTGTCTTCCTGCTCGCCCAGAACATCTGTCGACTCTTCCTCTTGGACGAAGATTGCAGTAGCAGCAGGTACCTTGGGGTTTGCTGCTTGCTCTTCTGCTGCCTTTTGCCGGGCCGCGAGGATCTCAGCGTCCGCAGCAGCAACGTCTCTCTGCTTCTTGCCTGAAACCTTCTTCAGGCGGTAGAATTCCTCTCGGTCGAGCTCATCGAGTTCGGAGTTGATGTCTTCAGAATGGTTAGCCTGTACAAGGGGCACTTGAAGTAGACGGTACAAACATTTGATAGTGTTCTCGGTTCGAGGAATGATAACATGCTCACTGTTGAAGATGTGTTAGTATACCGAACGAGGACCGCATTTACGAGTTCCGATCTTACATCGCGTTTACTATATCACCCAAGTTAGTTACCAGCCGTAACCCGTTACAATTCATGAGTACATGACTTACCTCTTCGGTTGACGACCTTGATCACCTCATCCAGAATCAGGAAGGCAGTCTGGCACAATTGGTGAGCAACATCCCAATCCACTGCATATATACCATACATACCTGTAAGCTCGCCAGTTCCACTAATGTCTCCACGGCCCGTGCGTATGTCTCCCGACAGCGTTGAATCTGCTGTCCTCCCTTTCCTAGACCTGTCAGACCAAAGTCATTGACGCCATCCTGCGTGTAGCTTTCGAATGTAGGTAGAAGAACACCAGAAACGTTCTCTTGCTTGGCTCGCACGCGGAAACGAGCCTGCTTGGCGGACTCCTGGATCTGGTAACCGATATCTCCGCCTACCGCATAGCTCACTTCGGCCAGTGAGAAAGCAGCAATCTGCATGACTCGACCCATCTTTTGTTTGGCTTCATCAATGCGGCGTGTGATGTCTGTCGAAGTATGATTAGCGCCTCGATAAGGTGGGGAACGGGAATGTGTCGCATCATACCTCGGAAACGTCTGTTGCACAGGATAGAGGGTCAGCATATACTCTGAGAAGTAAGAAAGGCATATGATTCTTACTTTGTTAGAGCTTCACTCTTTCTCTTTAGTAAACTATGGCCAATTTCCGCCCCCTTCAGCTTGTTCTTCATCAATCCCAATGATTGGCGAGTTGGAAATACTGCCTCTCGGCCCTGAACAGAGGTCAGATGAAATCAATATAAGAGTTCAGTTCCAGAATATACTCACCACAGCGCCCGACATGACTGCAGCAGAACAAAAGTCACAGTATAGTTCTTGTTGTTCAGCTAGAGCAACGCGGCCACATTGGTATGACGCCGATAAAGCTCCACCGCCCACCTGATACAGATTAATCACGTGATAACAAATGTGGGAACCTCATCCGTCAACAGATTTGGCTTTAAACGCGCACGCCAGCAGCTTCTTGTTTATGCAATTTTCCTTTATGCCGACACGTTGGTCGTGTAATTGGATTTCGCTCGACTGAGTGGCGCAATGCCAGGGACGCTTTTGCCCCCGAGATCCCACCGGCAGCACGCAGAGATGGATCGACCATCTGCGTCCCGGCCGGACCTCTACTTGATTGTAAGTTTTGACCCATTGGACCATTTGAACTTGAGGCTTACTTGGATTTCATCGCTAGACTGATCAAGACATTATCTACGAACAAGATCTGCTTCGCGACGCTAGCAGTGTCAAGCCATGGCTTGCCTATATCGAATTCAAGCAGCAAAATGGCACGCTCTATGAGCAAGCATTTGTATGTCGTCACCCACCACAACCGAGTCGCTAAGGACCGTCACTAATCGATTGACTTTTATCAGGTCATGGAGCGTGCTTGCAAGCAATTACCGCGTTCCTACAAGCTCTGGAAGATGGTAAGTGACTTTTCTTTTACAACTTCAAGTCTCTGCTTTTACTGACCGTCCTAGTATCTGGAGTTCCGAACAAAGCATTTGCAGGGCCGCAATCCCACGGTCTATCGCGCCGAATACCAGAAAGTGAACGCACTCTTCGAACGAGCCTTGATCCTCTTGAACAAGATGCCGCGCATCTGGGAAATGTATCTCACCTTCCTGCTCCAGCAGCCCATGGTGACCCAGACTCGACGGACTTTCGACCGTTCCCTTCGCGCTCTGCCAGTCACACAGCATAACCGAATCTGGAGACTGTACAAAGGCTTCGCTCGATCTGCTTCCGGACAAACCGCCATCAAGATCTTTGCTCGGTACATGCAAATTCACCCCGAGAACATTGAGGACTACATAGAGCTCCTCGTTGAAATGGGCGAATATACGGAAGCCGTGAAGAAGTTCATGGATATTCTCGACGACCCACGATTCAAGTCTAAGAATGGCAAGGGTCCATTCCAGTTATGGTCCGAGATGGTTGACCTCCTAGTCTCCAAGGCCAAGAAGATTGAGACCGGCCCTCAGGTCGGAATTGATGTTGACGCCATTCTCCGGAGTGGCATCGAGCGCTTTGCAGACCAGAGGGGCAAACTGTGGGCCGGATTGGCCACATACTGGATCACTAAGGGCAACTTCGAGAAGGCACGGGATGTCTTTGAGGAAGGAATCACTACTGTCATGACGGTTCGTGATTTCACTCTTATCTTCGACTCTTATGTGGAGTTTGAGGAGTCTATCATTGGAAGCTTGATGGAAGGCGCAGCCGCGCGTTCTGATAAGGGTAAAGCCGACGAGGATGCCGACTTTGATCTTGACCTCCGCATGCTGCGCTTCGAGCAGCTGATGGACCGCAGACCATTCTTAGTGAATGATGTACTCCTACGGCAGAACCCTCACAACGTCATCGAATGGGAAAAGAGAGTGGCACTCTGGGGCGATAACAAGGAAGAAGCTGTCCACACTTACACAGATGCCATTGCTGCAATCAACCCCAAGAAAGCGCTTGGAAAATTCTCCGAACTTTGGGTCAATTATGCCAGGCTTTATGAGAACGGCGGGGACTTGGATACTGCAAGAGTCATTTTCGACAAGGCTGTCAAAGTTCCATTCAAGTCTGTAGCTGAACTGGCAGAGACTTGGTGTGAATGGGCCGAAATGGAGCTCCGCGCCGAGAATTTCGACAAAGCAGTTAGTATTATGGCGAAGGCGACACAGGCACCTAAGAAATCGACGGTGGACTACTTCGACGAGACACTGTCTCCACAGCAAAGAATTCACAAGAGCTGGAAGCTATGGAGTTTCTACGTTGACCTAGTCGAGAGTGTTTCGTCTCTGGAGGAGACCAAAAAGGTCTACGAGCGGATCTTCGAGCTTCGCATCGCCACACCCCAAACTGTCGTCAACTATGCCAATCTCTTGGAAGAAAATAAATACTTCGAAGAGTCCTTCAAGGTATACGAGCGAGGCTTGGATCTTTTCATGTATCCAGTTGCATTCGAACTCTGGAACTTGTACTTGACCAAGGCTGTGGACCGCCAGATCGGCATTGAGCGTCTCCGAGACCTGTTTGAGCAAGCCTTGGAGGATTGTCCCCCCAAATTTGCCAAGTCTCTTTACCTGATGTACGGGAACTTAGAAGAAGAGCGCGGTCTCGCACGCCACGCGATGCGGATCTACGAGCGTGCAACTCGGGCAGTGTCTGACGAGGACCGCTTCGAGATGTTCGAATTCTACATCACCAAATCGGCCTCCAATTTCGGTCTCACATCTACCAGACCAATCTACGAGCGCGCCATTGCCGCGTTGCCCGACCAAGAGGCCAAAGAAATGTGTCTCAAATTCGCCGAGATGGAGCGACGACTTGGCGAGATTGATCGTGCTCGCGCGATCTATGGCCACGCATCTCAATTCTGCGATCCCCGGACAAACGCTCCCTTCTGGCAGAAGTGGGAGCTATTCGAGGTTAACCATGGAAACGACGATACTTTCGGTGAGATGATTCGCATCAAGCGAAGCGTTCAAGCTCAATATAAGTATGTTATTCCCACCACCATAAAACTGATGATACATTTTCTAACGTTATCTATAGTACCGACGTCAACTTCATTGCTTCGCAAGCCATTGCCAGGAGCCAACAGCAACTCCAGACAGGCGAACCAGGCGAAGGCGACGAGGACCAACGACGCGCAGATGCCATGGCAGAATTGGAGCGTCAAGCTCGTGCCCCAGTTGGCTTCGTGGCTGCCACCAGCGGTCCGGAGGGCGGTAACCGTCCTCCTGCCAGCAAAGAACCAGCTGCTGCCGAGGCCAACCCCGACGCTATTGATCTTGACATGGATGATGAATAGAGGGGGAAGTTGATATGGGCTATTTTGTTCAAGAGAAAGAGAACATCTTATGAATTTTTTTTTACTAACTCGTTCTTCTGTCTCTTTGCTCTTTCTGTATCTCCGTCGAAATGTATGTTGTATACTTGCTATCTTTACGCATTCTAGTATGAGTGTTTGCGATGATCGCCACCTCAGTGCCATTTTCTCTGCTACCAAAGCACTGCATCTCAAATCATGACTTGTTTTTTTTTCCGTTTGTTAACCAAGAGAGACTTCTGGTTCTCTGATCTTCTATTCGATTTATTATCTTTGTCTTGGGATACCTGATTCAACGTGGCGTTCTAGTGTTGTATCTGTATGTGTATAGATTGCACAAAAGAATACACCTGTGTCGCAACTTGTCTATCTCGGTGTGTTTTAACTACGAGTGTCTATTCAATTAGTGAATAACAAGTAAGCCTTACGTTGATATGAAGCCAGCCTTGACATTCGCACACATCATAGGTACAAA